CCTCAGTTGTTGTTTTGTGTTGCATCGTTGTACCCCTCTACAGACGACCGAATTCCGTTACGGAATTCCGGAATTGCATCGCACACGAAATCGGTAGGAATTAGGCGGAATCCCTGGGAATTCCTACCAATTCCGTCTCGGACACAATTCCGGAACTAGTTGGAGGAGTTCCGGAATTAGTTGGATGAATTCCGGAATTAGTTGAAGGAATTCCGGAATTAGTTGGAACTGATTCCGGAATGTGCAACATTGCGGAATAGGATGATTGCTCCTCTTTCCTCAAATCATGACACAAAGGTGTTCGGACTTTTTACAGGTCTGGCAAAGACAACTTGGGATCAATCACAAACCTTGACAGACAGACTGCAAAAGTCATAATAGACGATAGAACAAGACTTCAAGCAAATATCGGAGATGACGTATGCCTACCATACGATTCAAACATAGATGAAGTATTACTCTGTTCAAGCTCTATAATGAAGAGTAATCCATGTTGAAGACATGTACGCCGATTTTCATACAAAAGGACAGTTATTCGCAGATTGGTAACAGCAGCTACGCCTTTTTTCACATTTATAATCCTGTAAGGAAGTGTGATAACAGCTTTTTAGTCCTGGACTCGACTAAGTTCGATTTCGGTTTTCCATTAAGTCTTAATAACCTTAGTTTTTGTGTTATTTGTTCATACTCAGAGAAGCTGTTTCAGAATTTACTAGTTTCGCATTTGGAATAGCTCTCAAATACTTATATTCTTGACATTTCTTGTCAATGGCCGATATGACTGTAACTAAGGTTACTGTTGATTGTGGCTCCAGTCTCAATGGAAAATCAATAGAAAAACTAGAAGATTTATACTGAGATGAATTAGTTATTCCACAGTGTTGTATTGAGCTAAAAGCTTCAGTCATAAAATTGCTTATTAATTCTTTGTTGTCAAATGAGCGATAGAAAAATGTCGTTCTCTAACAATGCATGTATTTTTGTTGTAACTTAGTAAGATTAGATCTATTCTAGTCAGATTGAACATCTCATTTTCAAACTAATAAATCCAAAGCATGAATTTCTGCTGGCGAATCCAGATGGAGATATCTGAATTTTAAGATATTCACCGTCTATGCAAGATACTCACCAATTCAAAATATCATTTCAATATATTATTATTTTTTTCTGGTGATTCGATGGGATTTGTTTAGTCTCAAAAAGTTATTTTTTCTTTTTCTTATTTTAAACACATCTTTTCTAAAGCAACTCGACAAACTTTATTCAATAATTAAGAAAAACAATAACAAATTGAAGAGAATTTTTGAATGTGTGCATATTACATAGACTGTAAATGTCTTAAACTTCAAATGTTTCCGTTCGGATACACCAACAGCAGGTCATATTTTGAGTTTATTAGTTTAGCACTGAAATCTTTAATTTGACCCTATTTGATCGTGCCAGCTCATCTGATCTCTGTTATTCTCAGTGGTAGATTTAAGAAGGTGGGCGTCAAAGCGATCGCACAACCTCTCGAAAAAATTATTTTGATTTTCCCAGCAAAAACGACCGAAAAAACAAGGTCATGCTACCTCAAATGCATCTCTTCATTACTTCACTCTTCTCATCTCTCTCTCTCCTATATAAGATGCTTATAAGACAAAAAGCGAAAGATTCTAACACGTTCTTTCTATTACTATTTATTTTACTCCACACTAATATTGTTAATCGCATTTTGTAAAAGATCGAATTTAAAAATGTTAAAGTATAGTCAGAACTTTATAATGCATTTATCGAATTTCTTTTATTCAGAAAATCTATCATTTTATAAATATTAGAAATTCAATATTTTTCCTGTTTAAAATCTAAATTTGACAGGCGTTGCCTAATTCGAGTTCGAATATAAATGGAAAGCGAAGAGTCTATTATAACTTATAAAATAAATGAAAAATAAATAGAAAGAAGTTTTTTTCAAAATAGACACGATTGTAGCAAAAGATTAATCTCTAATGAACTTGACACCAAACTGATCTTTCATTTTGGTGACGAAAACATTCAGAAAAAAAATATAAGGATTCTGTTTTTCATAGCTAAAAAGTATATTAGTTTATGTTTCACAGCTTGCTTTCAAAAATAATTTTCTAACTTTCAGAAAAAACAAGCAGAAAAAATGTTTTACTTTATTGATCCTCGGATCTATCTAATACTATGATGATTATTTCTTTTCTCTTGTTATGTTTATCCCTTAGATTCAAAATGTTACTAAAATTCAAGGTCAGCAGTCCTAAAACCAGGAAAAACAGGAGAATATTTTAAAAAGCAGCTATTCGTATCAGGAGTATTTTTCATTAGAAGGAAGGTCTAAAAATCAGGAGATTTGGTAATCCTGTCTCTATGTTACTAATAAATAATATGTTCTGTTGTAGATTATCAACAATAAAAAGAAATATGAGTTTTTAAAATTTACACTACATCGGAAATTTACACGCTTCCATAAATAATATAAGTTTCTAGTAGAATTTCAGATTCTTCTATGGTAAAGATTAAAGTTTTAATTTTTACCATTGCTATTTAAAATCACGTGTCATTTGAATTTTTCTTTGAATAAAATGAAATTTCTATTTCTATTCAAAGATTATAATTATATGTAACGACGGTCTTTTTATTTTGTATTTAATATAAAAGTCGATGTTGTTCGAATAAATATTTCGATCTAGTATTTTATTTTGATGTATCTACCTTTCGTTAGACTTCTCTAATATTAGTTAATAAAATATATTCAACATTAACTAGATAATTACTAATTAGAACAATTAAGCAGAAATAGTTACAGGAATATCAATTGATAATCAATTATTTAGTTTAAAGGAATATCTAAATGGTGGCTTTTAAGTATGAAATATTCATTTTATCTAGTTAGTATCAAGTTATTTCACCTTCATAAATAGTATTACTAATATGTGAACATTCATTTGTAAGTAAAATAAAAATAAAAGAGGGTTCACAAAAAGAATATTTTTTCTTTTAGAGAATTCCTCTTTGAAAAAAGATGATAGAAAGGAGAATTTTATTTTTTGTTATGAAAAGACTGTCATATTGCTTGAAACATGCAAATATGTGATGAATTATTACTGAAGTCTTATATTATTCATCGAGAAGGAAAGGTATTTAACATTTTAAGAAACATCAAAACTGTTTTTTATATGTATATGTCAAAAAAAGACCACATTCTTTAGAGAACTCTTTGAACAAATAGAATACATATGAACATCTTGAAAAGTGCGAGACAAAAGTTTTATGCCAACGATCAATGTAAATGTTTAATAAAGAGATGATAATACAAAATACTCATTAAAATCTTTCACCAGTCCTGATTTACTTCTTTTATTCACAAACTAGAATAATATGAAGTATCAAAAAGATTGATTAAAACACATCTCACTATAGACCATTCTCAATCGTCACATCGCTTTAAAGTCGAACCTGTGCATATTATGTAGATCCTTACGATCTATAAAATCTCTGAAAAAAGTTTGTGCTACTAGCTTATTACTATTGAGATACTGCGTTTTTACTGGATGCTTAAGAAAAAAGAGCCGTCGTCTCTCTTAGGAACATTGGGAAAGTTAAATTTCGAATTTGACTTGAAAATTTTCATAGATATAATTAGGCCTCAATTAAAATACTTTATTGTGAAAATTTCGGTTCTTTTTGTGATTCCTATCCTAAGATGCAACTATCGTTAAATTGCTCACATACACCAGCAGATCTGATGTTCTTATGTCAGACTGGGAGCAATTCGAAAAACCAGAAAGCTTCTCAATAATCTATCCTTACTGATGTCTAAAAACATACTAAGCTGCAGGTGAAAAGTCAAACTTTACTTGTTCTAATGTTCCTGAGGCGGGGCACAGCTTTCTCTGAAACATACACTACATGATGCCTATACCCTCAACTCAAAAGTGATGTAACAGTTGGGGATGTTCCCTCGTCAGCAGGATTCAAATATTCTCGTAAAGTACATAACAATAAACTTTTCATGGAATTTATTCAATATCTGCATAGTTCTGATATAAAAACAGCAACATTCCACTGGAATTTTTGTATTCAATCAGAAATTATTTCTCTCTGTCAGAATTTTAAAAAGCATACAAAACTATTTTCAGACAAGAAAAAAAACCCATTGCTAAATATAAAAGAAGAGAATGCTCATATTCTCTGTTCACTTTCTTACTTAATTCATTGAGAGCTGCACTGTTATTCGATAATTTCTCTATTTGTTTGGTTTGTCTCTACTTATTGAAAATATTTTTTATCACTCTGAACAAAAATAAACTTCAAATAAAACTGCATTCAACTACTTAAGAAAATTTGCTCACACAGACTATAATATTCAAATACTGAACTGTTATCAAAGAGACTAGTGTGAAGCATTTTTTCAAGAAATGAATGAAGAAAAGAAGCAGTAGTATTTCATAATCTTATTATGCGCATAATGTTTTCCGGTTGTACAGAAGACGAAGATTAGATATCTCTTCTAGTTTAACTAGCTTAGGACATTGGCTTAGAAAACAGT